CTGATCAATCCTCTTTCTCCTTGTGTTGGTGGAGCCGAGCATGCCCCCTCTCCGATTCAGAACTGTACCCCTGGCTTTTGCCTGGGGAAGGGAATGTGCTGCTGCCGCAAAAGCCCCACTGAAAATTAAGGGCGGGGGAGGTAGGATGGCAGAGGGGAACCTGAAAGACTCGCTGCCAAATGGGTGGCATCGCCTCTGCCACCAAATGAGGCTGCTTCAAGCAAGAAAAGGGCAAGGGTCTTGCTCATGCCTGAACGACCCACGTGGAAGCCTGTGAAGTCCATTTCCAGGGGGGAAAGCTCCAAGTTCACTCAGCTCTGGCAGGGCCAGGCCATCATACCCCACCTTGAGTGTACAGTGTCCAGTTCAAGTTTCAGCAAGCATCTGTCAGAGTTATTTTTGCAAGTCAAATTACACAGATCTAAGGAGAAGTCAGGCGATAGAACAAGGAGATCAATTCAAACCCCTCATCTGATAAAGCATCCTATTCATAATCGCCTACATTAAAATAAGCAAGTATTAATTTTTGGCAACACAAAACCAGAGGACTGTGATAAGCTTGCCTGAACTTGCCTCTGGGATGCAGTGGACGCATCTTCTCTTTTTAATTAGTTAGTAATCAGACATGAGGGTTTGTTTGATGATGCTGGTCGAGTGATGAATCTGTACTATTCAGTGCATCTTTACAGTAGTGTCAATTTTTCCACTTCAAACGACACTTCGCCTAACCACCGTTCTGCTCTACTTAATTACAATTCTGCCAGGCTTAGGCTTGTTGCTTAGGATGATGACCAAAATGCACCATTAAAGCCCCATGTGCTGATCTTCTAGCATTTCTCTCTAATAACACTTGCAAAGCTAAGGCTTTGATTCCTCGAAGAAACTGGGGGCTGCATTTCCTCTGCTTCACTGACTGAAGATGCAGCCATGGATCAGGACAGAGGCTACATCATCAGGGTGACCAAGTCTTCCCTCCGTCCTTTTAGACCAAGGAGGTCTCCACACATATGCTCACGTTCAGTACAGTCTTGATCTTCACTAACAGAAGTCAAGTTTTACAACATAGGCAAACTTGTAACACTTGATGGCTTATTGAGTTGGGTTTTTTTTTCCAGAAAGGAAGAAAAAAAAAGTGGAACTTTTTGGCCATCAGGAAGAAAAAAAACCTGGGTTAACTCTTTGACATTTACTGTAAATGAAAAGCCAGAAGCATTTAAATAGAGCACAATTTGTTTTAAATAAGTATTTCTATTACGCTGGGAAGGTATGGGGCTTTTTTGTTGTTTTTTTAATTACTGAATGTTGAAATAGAACACCTCCTTGAAGCATTCATGTGCATCAGTCCATCAAACCATTTACTCAAATTAAATGTGTAATCCTTCAAAATGCCTCCTTTTAAATTAATGAGTTTAAGTAGCTTGAGTTCACCTGAAAAGATCATACGGGCACCTGACCTCATGAATTCTTTCTATTAATTATATTGGAAACTCGTTGGAAGGGTTACTCTGTGTAATCTTACTGTACCCCAACAGATGTGAGATTAGCAAGGCTTAGTTCCCCCTACCCAAACCTGTGGTATTTAAAGTAAACAGGTTCAAAAAAAGAAGAAATAAAAAAGGGCAAGAGCATATCCCTCCTCTCCTGTCCCCTGCATTTTTTACAGTGGAAGTTAAAAAAAATGTTGGTTCAAAGCCTCTGCCTAACAACGTGAAGACAAACATGATGCCACTCTTCTTTACTATAAGTAGAACCTGTGGCCCTCCAACTGATGGTTAATCAGCTCTCTCACAAGGAGAACAGAGAATGAGTCATTCTGTTTCCACTCAAAGGAGTTTAAAGGTGCTTATGTAAATATCATAATTAATCAGATACTAAGGGCAGGCATTTCATTATTTAGCACCTCTGCCACAGTCTTATTTAAGCCCTACCATTTTAACATTTACCGTTCAGATATGCACACTTCTCCTTCAACACTACAACAAAGCAGATTAATTTAGCCTCTCTGATTGCTGTTTATTTTTAGTTAGGACTTGTTTTGTGCTGACAAACCACTTTAAAGTTACAGTCGTCGTTCCGCCCCCCAACTCTTCCCTCCGCTTGGCAGGCACCAGCGCCCCTGGGCTAGGCGCTAACATCCGTCTGCGCACCCGCACGTCTCCCCGCTCCCAATGAAGGAGCGATCCTGAGCCAGCCCACCCCTCCGCCCCCGGGCGCCCACCACAAGAAATAAAGGTTAAAAAAAAAATAATAAAAGACATTAAAAAAGGGAGGGAAGAGGTGGAGGGGGGGGGAAATAAAAGGAAAAAAAAAAAAAAAGGGGGGGAAAAGGGGAAAACCTGCCCCCGCCGGCCCGGGCGCTGCCTCACCTGATGTAGTCGTTTCTGCAGAGGATCATGCCGCTCTTGGTGTAGCAGGAGGTGCCGATGTCCCCCAGCTGGGCCTGGCAGCAGGAGCACTTGAGGCAGCGGCTGTGCCAGTAGCTGTCCATGGCGTAGAGCAG